CTGAAACTCCATTAAAATGTCAATAAAGGAATAAAAAGGATGTAGGTACACAAGGACAAAAAGAGGACAGTAAGATTTCAAAGCATTTTTGGAACACTGAAAATTAACAGAAGATGGTAAATGACTAACAAAGCAGAAGAAACCATAACAGAAGAAAGGGGGTTGGTGTCACAGAACACAAGAGACACTTGAGATTCTCAGGACTTGAAAGGCACCACACACGTCAAAAATTAGGGGACAGGATCTAGGGCTGAACACATAGAGGAACTGTATAAAAATATGTTTATGGAAGGCTTAGATGCCCAAGTTCCCTTTTCCACTCACCACAAAGCTAGATGAATAACCTCAATCCCCCCCTCCAGTAGACCAGAGGCACCTTGCCCTAGAGAACTCCAACAAAAAGGCTGCACAATTAGGGAGAGTAGAATCCAGGGACTGAAAACAGGGTGGGGGGATTAACTTAAGTAAAAATCTTTAGGCAGAATGAAAGGACCTGCCACTTTTCCAGACTTTTCCCCAGTCTTTGGCAATCAGGCCCTTACCACCCAGACAGGTATCTGGAAGGACATACTGCACTGTGGTTAAAAGCTCAAACTCTAGCCATGCACTCCCTAGGTTCAAATCCTTACCCTGCCACTTTGCATCTGTGAACCCTTGGACAAGTTACCCAACCTCTGGGCCCCAACCTCCTCATCTGAAAAACAAGGATATACACCTCATAACATTGAGGATGAAAACTGTCAAGACTGAGAATCACTGAATTAGAAATACATAAGACTCAGAGTAGCCTTTGGCATTTCCCTTTATCTGTAGTTCTCTTATCATTTCACTCTAGAGAAGCAAAAGAAATACTTATATTTCTTTTATAATTTCATCCCTCTGTTAAGTTGGGATATTCAAGAAAAAGAAAATTCAAAAGAAGATCAATAAAACAAATGGGAGGAAAGAATCCTCTAGAAGCCATCAATTTTTCAACAATATCCTTCATTATGCTGTAAGAATTCTCAAATGAGGGAGAAGGGGAGTGGAAATGACCTCCCCTGGTTAGGAATTACTATTCCAGATCATCTAAAGATCATAGTAGAACCAATTATCATAAAGAACAGATAGGCACAGGGTGCTATCTGAGCCTGGGTGGCTCAGTCCGTTAAGCGTCCGACTTTGGCTCAGGTCATGATCTCACAGCTTGTGGGTTTGAGCCCCACGTCCGGCTCTGTGCTGACAGCTCAGAGACTAGAGCCTGCTTCAGATTCTATGTCTCCCTTTCTCTCAACACCTCCCCCACTCTCACTCTGTCTCTCTCTCTCTGTCTCTCTCTCAAAAATAAACATTTAAAACAATTTATTTATTTTTTTAAGTTTATTTATTTTTGGGACAGAGAGAGACAGAGCATGAACGGGGGAGGGGCAGAGAGAGAGGGAGACACAGAATCGGAAACAGGCTCCAGGCTCTGAGCCATCAGCCCAGAGCCCGACGCGGGGCTCGAACTCACGGACCGCGAGATCGTGACCTGGCTGAAGTCGGACGCTTAACCGACTGCGCCACCCAGGCGCCCCAAAACAATTTATTTTAAAAGAACAGATAGGGAGTGCCTGGGTGGCTCAGTTAAGCATCTGACTCTTGATTTTGGCTCAAGTCATGGTCTCATAATTCGTGAGATCAAACCTGACGTCAGGCTCTGCACTAATAGCACAGAGCCTGCTTGGGATTCTCTCTCTCCTATCTGCCCCTCCCCCACTCACAAGTGCGCGCTCTCTCTCTCTCTCTCTCTCAAAATAAATAAACTTAAAAAAAAAAAGAGCTTACAATGTCTTAATAGCTAAGGATGCAAGAGTGAACAAGAATGCCACTGTCCCTGCCCTAGCAGAACTAACTAAACTACTTAGCAAGCTAGTACAATAGTTTGAGGATAAATCAAACCCTATAATCAATAAACTAATTTAACATTTCATAATTGCTAATACAAAATTAAGTTGGAACTACAGACCCACACTATGTGTGATTAGTATTCCTATCAATGGCCATTTTAAAAATGTAAACTATGTATCAGGAACTTTGATAAATGCTCTACACAAACTACCTCATTTAAATCAAACAATTCTGTCAAGTAGATATCATTTCCTTCATTTCACAGACGAGGAAAATGAGATTCAAAGTGTAAGAATAACTTGTCCATGACTAAACAGGTAGGCAGAGGTGGCACTGGGATGCATCAAGTCTCTCTGACTCTAAAGCACATGTTTTCTCTATTCTGCAATGGCAGAGTTCCAAGAGGTACCCTCTAAAATCATAGGGTAGGGGCGCCTGGGTGGCGCAGTCGGTTAAGCGTCCGACTTCAGCCAGGTCACGATCTCGCGGTCCGTGAGTTCGAGCCCCGCGTCAGGCTCTGGGCTGATGGCTCGGAGCCTGGAGCCTGTTTCCGATTCTGTGTCTCCCTCTCTCTCTGCCCCTCCCCCGTTCATGCTCTGTCTCTCTCTGTCCCAAAAATAAATAAAAACGTTGAAAAAAAATTTAAAAAAAAAAAAAAATAAAATAAAATCATAGGGTAATGCATTCAGGCCTGGTTCAAAGATACCCAACTTAATTCTGCCCTTCTATTTTTAATCTTATTTAAATGTTCTTGGTTTAGTATTTTGTCTAATGGTAGTATATAACATTATTAGGAGGAAAAAAAAAAGCTGTACATAAAATCTCAAGTGAGAGGCATCCTACATTAGACTTAAGACTGTCACTTGTTCCCTAAAGGTCAATTTAGTGACCTTTATGAGATAATACCAATTCATTTAACCTGGCAGAATCTACTAAATTTTAAAAAAGGCATGTATATTTATCTGTGTGTGCATGTGTGTGTGTGTGTATATATATATATATACAGTATTTTCTAGTTTTGAAGTATTTCCAAAACTTTATGTTCTTATTTGAATACGCCTTTAGAAGAACCTTTAAAAATCGAATACTTGAGAGATGAAAAGATTAACAATATAAATGTTTCTATAATTCACATAGGGACAGAAGGCTCGAGTTTCCGTGGCATTATTAGTATGCCATGATACGCCTTGGGCAAATCATTTCATCTCTGGGCTTCACTAAGGGGAAATCAGATGACAATCTCTAAGGCGCATCCAACCTTTAAAATTCTATGACACCATAAATAACAACCAGAAAACCTAGTAAAACATTTCTCAAAGCATGATCAACTATGTCTTTGAACAGGGCAAGCAAAAGAGAAATCTAATCAGCATTTACTTTTTCATTGGGACCACTTAATTTAGCAGCTCCCTTAGCAGCACATCCGCCTGCGTTGGAGGTGCAGAGCTGAGAAGACTCCAAGGAACCGCCAACTCTCCGGGAATAACACCTGGCCAATCCTTGTGCTTTTCATCAAAAGGTGCTTAGTCGGAAAGGAAAATAAAGCCCACTTTTATAGCCCACGAAAACGTTCCCCTCTATCTAAACAATCTACCCATTTCAGCCTCAAGGAACGAATAAAAGAGGACAAGTGAAAATAGCTGAAAGATTACTCTTCTTTAGTAAACAGGGTGAGGACTTCAAAAAGTGATCAAATATGTCCACGGCAACAAAGCAGGACTCAGAGTTTTTTTTGCCTATTCTCTCTCTCTGGTTCCTCCTTGGTACACTAGAAATGTGCACCAAATATGTAAAAGAAGAAAGTTATGTGAATAAATGTAGGATTGATGTTCTCAAAGATCCCACATGCCAGTCCAAGTTTTCTCCTTACTTGTAATTAAGTAGTTAAGTTGCCTGATTAAATTAAAACTCAAGCCTTAGGGCATGTTTACAATAATTTATAAAGTTACAGGCAGGTCACTGTGGTTTAAATTTACAACTTCATTTTATAATTAAGCCCCAAAGAACACAGTGTGGGGAAAGGGTGGGGAGAAGAATACAAATATGTACACCTATTTTCAACAATAACAAAAAATATTCTGAAAACAAGAATGAAATTTAACTAGTCAAAATTAAACATTATCTTTAAAAATCTCAATTCACATCCGTTTCTCAAAAGTGCAAAAATAGCAGCAATTACGGTTCATTTTACACTTGTAGACAATGAAGTCACAATTAGAGTAAAGAGCTTCAGTAAAATCAATGCAGTAAAAAACAGTTAAAATTCAGAGTTCCTGATTACAAGATCCAAGCTCTATTCAAAAATCAGGACACCTAATCAAAGATCCTGTAAAAACTCAATTACTCAAGCTTCTGTTCACTGGGTTAAAAATGTCTATGCAGGAGGAAATATACTCTCTGGCTAATTTCACAGAGAAAAATTAGAAGTTTAAACACTTTAAACTCAAAGGGCCTGATAAAATAGATACCTGCATAATAAATAGATGAGGATTTTTTTCCAATTTTAACAAGTCTTTGACCTAAAATTTAAAACCACACTATCTTACAAGAATTGAAAGAGTAAATTAACACCCACTGATAAATACATTCTGAGCCAATGGTACAGGTCTGAATTTGAGGCTTTACACAGAATTTTAAATATCCATATACCCCATGACATTCCTGCACCTCCAGAAATTATGAAATCTCCTGACAGCCTTCCCTAACCACATATGTCCAATAACTAGAAGGTTTACTAGAAATCACTTTTCAGGAAGAAATAGGTTAGGGAAATAAAATTTTAACAAATATTTACTTTATTATTTTACAAATATTCAAAATAAACCTTTGTTACTTACTAACATACTTTTCTCAATGCAACTTAACTTACAGATTAAAACATTTTTTAGAGTTTAAAGCAGTGGTTCTCTAAGGTCAATCAGCAATGTCTGATGACAGGCTGGACTGTCACAACTGGAAGGTGCTACTGGCACTTACTGGGTAGAAGCCAAGAACTTTGCTAAACATCCTACAAAGTACAGAACAGCCCCCCACAAAAAAGAATATCTGGCCCCAATGTCAATAGTGTCAAAACTGAGAAACCCTAGTCTATAATCTGACTTGTACTATAAGGACTATTAAGGTTTACTTACCTTTGAATTTAATATCCAGACCACTAAATTCCAATTCAACTCCTTGAAGTGCTTCTCCCAGAGTTTCATGGTAATGACTGATACTTTTTTTTGACCCCACACAAAATGGAAGTGAAAAGTACTTATATGTCTCTTGGCGATTATGGTAGGGCCCAACAGTATTCATCCATAAGACAACTTCCTCTTTATCATGATACTGAAACAAACAAAAAAACAAAAAAAAAACCAAATTATAAATTTTTTAATCTAATTTAAATTAAGGGAGTATTTGTTATATGATCTAAACAAAAGTGTACTGTGTTTGGGAAGCTATAAAATACTGGAGGTTTATTTTATTTTAATCTGATGATCAATGTCCATACCTTACAAAGACACTTGTTGAATTTTAAAATTATATCTTCTGATTGTGATCTCAGGCAGATCCATCTTTTCTAAACTTTGTTTTACAGAAGGTATTGTTTAAACAAAGTCCAATAGCACATAAGAGTTCAACAGCACATCAAATAATGGTGAACCCAGAACCAGTATTATTCACCATGCTAACATGGACAAGGAAGGAGGAAAGAAAATCAATAGCTCACCCAGAAACTCATGCTAATCATTAGAAACTAAATAATCTAATGTTGCCAGCAAGCGCAAATAAAATTTCATCTCCTTTCTGATCTTTTCCGTGGCCATTGGTCAAGGTACTAGAAATGACTAAACAAGAGGAAGAGAAACCCATGCTATGGAAATCTCCACAGTCCACTCAAGCCATCATTCTATCTTCCCCCTTTACTAGCCTGAAAGACATGTACTGTATGCATACTTCTTTGGATAAGTAACAATGATTCTCGCCATCAGTAAATACCATCTGTAGCTAAATCTGGAGTGTGGTCCAATGACTGTGGGTAGGTGACTCCACCTTTCCAGGGTCCAATTGGGGAATGTGCCAAAGATTTCTAAAATCTTAAGTTTAAAATTCCAATGATTCTATGAAAAGCAATTACCCATAGCAACATAAGCTGAAGACAAGATAGGATACAATTTAAGTCAACAGTGCAGACATTAAATCACTGATCAATTATTTACCGAGTGCCTGCTACATCCAATAATTGTGTTTATAGCTGAGGATACAGCTGTTAACAAGACAGGTTCCCTGCCCTACTGGAGCTCAAAGCCTAAAGGGAAAGATGGACATTGAGCAAGTAATTATAATAAAGTAGAGTGCTAAGGAGCATGTACTAGAGAAAGCTAACCAACTAACCAACTACCAAATTCTTACCTCTAAAACTAATATAAAAACATTTTTTTAATCAAAATCCAACCTCTCCAAAAACAAACTCATGCCACCCAAATCTACCCTTTCATCTTTGTTTTTCTAATGGTATCACCATTCACTCGCACATGGAAACTCAAACCCCAAGTCTCTCTGCATTCCAAAACCACACTGACTTGTCTACTCTTATCCAAAGCATCTACATCTTCCTTTTGATTCACACCACCAGCATCCTAGGAGTTAGATATAATCACCTCATCTTCAAATATAAGAAATGTCTCAATGTCATATAAAACATCGTTTAGGTCATTAAGAAAATAATAAACTATCTTATTTTTTGAATACATGAGACACATACCAAGCATAGTGTTAGGTGTTAAGGACACACAGTTGACCCTTGAACAATGCAGGGTTAGGGTCACCAACCCACCATGCAGTCAAAAATCCATACGTAACTTTTGACTACCCCAAAACTTAACTGCGAATAGCCTTGTTGATTAGAAGCCTTACCAACAACATAAACAATCGATTAACACATTTTTGTATATTATATGTATTCTATACTGTATTCTTACAATAAAGTAAGTTAGAGAAGAGAAAATGTTAAGAAAATTGTAAGGAAGACAAAGTACATTTGTCATACTGCACTGTATTTACGGAAAAAAATCTGCATGTAAGCAGAACTACGCAGTTCAAACCTGTGTTGTTCAAGGGTCAATGTACAGATAAATAAAATACTGTCCTTTCCTTTAAGTTCACAATCTATAGTGGAAGACAAGTAAATGATTAATGATGAAGAAATAGCGTTAAAACTAAGGTAATAAAGGGCTATCATAGCAGCAACAAAGGAATCATTAATTCTGCTTTGGCAGAGAAGAAAATTCTCTAACAATATAGAAAATCATAAACCATTTCAAGTGAACTCAGAAAAACAACTATAGATAATCTTCACGTATGAAGGAAGGAATCAAAGGTCTGAATATATCCATACATCCCCATTCAGCTGACAAAGCTATTACGCCACCACTCTTCATCTGATGCTCATGGTCACACAGCACTAATCAATCAAGGCACTCCTTTACAGAGACGGTTATAGCATAAGAATTCTCAAAACAGTGCGCTAAACCAATCAATGATCAACTGACCATAGCTGGTATTAGAATTGAAACCTGCTCACTTGGCAGAAACCTCTCTGCATAGTATAATCTACACAAAAAGTATTTAATAAATACAATGGGAAAACAATGAAAAAAAAAACACAGAAAAAATGCTGAAATGTAAAGTTTATTAGCAACTTACTAAAAAAAAGTTTGAAGTATGCGTACTGACTGATATGTGCACTGATTGCAATAGTTCCCTTTGAGAGAAAAAGGGAAGGTAACAAAATACATCTATTTAAGATTAGAATGCTGAACAAGAGGACCTATCAATGAGGACCTTGTCATTAATCCTGCCGAGTCTGCAGAAATGTTTAAATGTTACTTGGGAAAATAAGCACAAAAATATTTTTTCTATCAATTCCAATACTCATAATTCCTTTAAAAATAGACAAAAATTTGAACTTAAATACTTATTTAAAAAGGGCATTCTTTTTTTTATACAAACTGAAACATAAAATAACTGAAGGGTCACAGCGTGTGTTCAACGACACATTCTGAAGTCACTTATTTTAATCATTCATGAAACCTGAATGGGGCAGTACAGTTGTGGCCACATGACGGAAATTGCACTGTAACAAAACGTACACCGTTCTGTAACCCTTCTGGGAAGAGGACTGAAATAATAATTAGAAATACATACAGATGTGTAATATATACACACCTTCACACACACACATACGGGGGGTGTGGTTAGGCTAAAGATTAATGCAAAAATGCTTCTTTTCCTTTACATCACTCCTTATGCAGACCATGATCAATATAATTAACTTAATTAAAATGTTACTTTTCTTTGCAGTTCTTGATTACCCCTGAGAGTAAGTGCTCCCAAGACAAGGTCAAGACAAGAGTTCTTTTTCAAGAGAGAAAATGTGCCTTAAAAATATCTTGAAATTAGAAACTATCAAAAGGAAGACTTTACACAATGTTTTTTAAGAGAAAAAACACTTTTCCTTTCCCTAAAGCTGCTGAGAAAGTCCCTGAGCTCCACCAATCCATGAGCAGAAAGCAACAGAGGGAAGGCTCTTTACTCTGGCCAAAAGGCTAACCTAATTCACTTTCAAAACATTCCATGAAGTTCTAGCAAGCTCATTTTAAATCCTTTCTTTGGAAAAACTATGAGTAGGCCAATGACACTGAGAAAGACAGAGATTTGCAACTTACCTGCTGAGTGTAACCAGAAGGGGAGAAAAAGCAAGGAAGCATAGCAGGGGACCAGGGGACCCTTGAGCATGGCAGCAGTAGTCCCTTCCGTGAGGCCTACCTGGGAAGTAGCCAAGCGAGAGGAGGCCAATCCAGACCACCTGCATTCTTCACCTCACCGTTCTATTCATTTTCCAGTTCTCAGAAGAGTTTCAGTTATACTAAATTTCTGAGCCATTCCCTCCAGCCCAAATGGTTTATAATATTGTCTTCCCTTCCTTTTCTTCTCCACCTTGTTTCTCATGCCATTCCCCCAAATCTACAATGCCCTCCTTCTCTCCACTTTGTCAATTTCTACTTATCCTTCAAAACTACTCAAATCCTTTCTCAAACCCTCTAATCCTCAGCTAAAGCCTTAACATATCAATCCCTAACATGATCTCAGCATCTTTTCTGATTGTATTAGCTAACACTTATTAAGCACATACTCTGTGCTAGGCAAACTAAGGTCTTTACATGAATATTTAATCCTCTCAAAATTTTATTAAAACAGATGCTATCATTTTCCCCATTAAAAAAATTTTTTTTACTGTTTATTTTATTTTTGAGAGAGAGACAGAGCATGAGTGGGGGTGGGAGGGGGGGCAGAGAGAGGGGGAGACACAGAGCTCCTTCAGGCTCTGAGATGTCAGCACAGAGCACAACGCGGGGCTCGAACCCACAAACCGTGAGATCATGTTTTGAGCCGATGTCGGATACCCAACTGACTGACCCAGAAAGATGCCCCTATTTTCCCCATTTTACACATTAAAATAGAGAACAAAGATGTTAAATAATTTGTCCAACATCATATAACTAATTAGTATCACATTTACAAGTTTAGGACTACACTTTTGCTAATCCCAAGTCAGTTTCATTAACTAAAGAGCAAAAACTAAATGAAGAAAATATGATAAAAATACAGCTGTACAAAGCAACTAAAGACAGTTACTGAATACTGAACAACTTTTCCATTTGAACCTTTTATCTGCCTTAAAGAAGAAAACCTTCCTAAGAAGTGACTTGTGTTCTAATTTCAAAAGGCCTGACCTTTATTCTCAAGATGTCACCAATGTTAGGCCTCTCTTAAATACTGTTTATGTGCTGGGAAAGGAGAGACACAGAAATTTCTCTCCTTGATAGAAATCATGAATTCATTTTTCTTAGGAAGAACACTTTAGGAGATAGTGTTACTGATGTACTCATGTAAAATCTGAATAAGAAATGATACTTTGGGGGCGTCTGGGTGGCTCAGCCGGTTAAGCATCTGACTTCAGCTCAGGTCACGATCTCATGGTTTGTGGGTT